GAGCCACCCAGGTGCCCCCTAGTCAGCTAATTTCAAAGAGGTTTTTAGGATCCAAATTTGTTTTGATACATTGATAGAAAAGGAGAGGAACAGTGTTAAAGATAGAGAAAGATGGGGCGCCTGGCTGGCTAAGTAGGTGGAGTGTGTGACTCTTGATCTCAGGGTTGTAAGTTCTAGCCCCACACTGGGTATAGCGATTACTTTAAAAAAAAAAAAAAGAGAGAGAGAAAGAACCAGGAACGATTTTTTTTGTGACGTAAATCACTGCTGAATCCTAGAGGCATGAGATCAGTGTGCGGGATCCTGACTTGAGATCCCCCGCAGTGAAAAGACCCACTAGTCCAAGAGAAGGGGCCCCCCACTTGAACCCCATACCAATACCTCCCCTGAAAGCAAGACTTACCTACTAGTGCTGGGGTGGGGCATGGGAATTTCCAAGCCTGTTCCAAAAAGCAAACTGTTAGACAAACAAAATGCCTTAGTGACATGCCTTAGTGACGCTGTTTTTGTCACTGAAATGGGATCTCGCTGTGCAGTTTGGTTCCTTACTGAACATACCTGTTACAGTTGCCTTTGCCTCTACTGTGTCTTCCTAATTAAAACAAATATTGCCACACACAGCCTGTGACAAAAAAAAATTGAGAATAGCAAGAAGGTGGAGGAAGGAAATGAGCTCTCTGTGCTAACCAAGGAAATAAATGACCATTAGGTTTCATTTCTGGTGTACCAGCAACAAAGTAATCCTTTCCTTGCCTACATAGATTCAAATTATTGCAGTTTCCAGGTTGTCAGGTAGGAGTCAAACATGATGCTAAAAATATGCTTTCTGTTCTTGCGGTGACTGACCACGAGGAGGACTAAGGCATTATATACAACTGTCTGCTCATCAGTAATTATTGACTTCCAACTGCACACAGAACATTGGTGTGTAGATACTTTATTGCTGTGAAAGCAGCAGAGATTAAAGGTCCTGTGTTCAGTTAAATTAAATATTTTCCTATTGGTTCACATGATACAAATAAATTTACCGTGTATGTGTGTGTGTTTGTGTTTGTGTGTGTGTGTGTGAACCGAACTGACTGCAGTCATACAGAATCAGTATGGAAGGAAATTCCTAGGAGCAGATCCTGGTTCAAAGGTGGAAAAGATGATTCTAAGCCAAGAGATAAGCCCCACTGTATAAGAAGATTGCAAACTAGTTTTTCTTGGCTGCATGAATTTGCTAGGATTTCTTTTAGTTCAGGATCTCTAGCTAGACCTAGCGTAGTGCCTGACAGATAAGAATGATAATCATTAATGCAAATGCTACTGCTAGTAATAATTTTTATTGGGCAATGGAATGTGCAGACACTACTCAGTGTTTTAAATATGGTATCTCATTGCATATTGCAAGAACTCTGTGAAGTTGGTTACTATTATTATCCCCACATTAGAAATGAAGAAATTAAGCAGCATGTTGGGATCTCACACTTGTAAGTGGAGGAGGCAGGAGTCAAAGACAGTTCTGCTTCAGTCTGGGATCTGCATCTTTCACTAAATTATACCCAGCAAATGTTTCATTAGAATAGGGAGCAGATGCTACAGGGAATTGAGGAGTGAGAGAGTGAAAGTTGCAGGTGTAGATGAATCTTCGGGAAGGTTTGGGTGAGAAGTCTGCAGGGGTAGAGGAACGGCTGGAGGGGGCCCGTCAGGAGGGCGCTAGGATGGGAGGTGTGATGAGGGAAAAGAGCTAAGAGGGGTGGAGTTTGCCTCTCTAGAAGAGACAAGGACAAACAATGGAGGAGGGCCTTTGGAGAGGGGGTGGGAACAGAAAGACATGACAGCACGAGCAAGAGAGCTAACTGGGAACAGAGGAAAGACCTCTTTCTCTAGGTCTTGGGGTGGCAGATGAAGGTGAGTGGGGGCGTGAGTGAGTGTGGAAGAAAAGGGTGGGAGAA